CTAATTGCTTGATGGCCGGTGTGCGGGTCGTGACCTGCTGAAATTTCATCTCCCGTGTTGGATTTTGGCGTGATGATTGCTCTTTCATCTGGCTTAGTGGCACTGGCGTTCGCCTGCTCCATCCTGTTCAAACAACCCCTAGGGGCGCTTGCGTGTATACTTACAGCAGCCGCATGTTTAACCAACCGCGGATAAAAATGGGCATCTGTACCACGTACTCCCCTCTATCCCCTAATTAAAAGCTAGATCTTTATTTATGAACATGTAATTCGGCCTTGAAGTTAAGAATCGACTGAAAACATTTGGTGTAACCTCCCCCTTGCCATTCAGCATACTTATTTCTGTGTCTGTGAAGTAATATCATTACAAGTTGCTTTGTCGGAGAAAATAAACGTACATATCTTCAGGTTACCAGAAATAACCCTGAGACTACTAACAGGACACTCGAACCCACTCGAACGACAATTAGTGCTCACTTGGATCTGGAATTATAATGGTGCTAAGGCACGTAGAGCCGATCCGCTGTCTCCAGCCTTTACTCAGCCCCTCGAGGAAAGACACGAAGCCGACGTCGGGAGCACGCGGCTAATAGCGCGAGCCGGCAATAAGACGACGCAGGGGCAACTGAAGGCCTGGGGGTCTGACACCAACCCCAACCCCAACCTCCCCCCCTCCCACCCCTTGCTATCACGGGGTTCGCTTACGTGCGTAGGTGTTCCGACCCAGTTTCCGGACAAGAGTGCGTACTGTTAGCACGCTTTAGATGGCTTAAATTCAGCCAAATCAATATGCACCACCCCCTACCTCACCTCCCCTCGTTATTTGACCCAAAAACTGTTCGATCGTTCATGCAGTCGTATAGTCCCTGAGGCTTGGCTCCTGGACAGGTCGGAAAAGCTGGGAATGGGAGATCTACCGTCCCAATATTCGCGTGCTCATTTTCGTACTACATTTCTGCACAACTATGTCACAGAAAACAGATCAGGAGCATTCTAACAGTTGTCTATTGAAACCAGCTAGTCGTCTGTCTGGCCGGCCTTGTTTTGTGAATAAATGCCATCAGCGTGATATATGATCGTATGAAGTTACTCACTAGAAATAAAGAAATTCCGCTTATTCTTCTCTTCTGGTCATCTTGCAAAAGATCCCTGTCTATTTGTACTGCTTTTGTGGCCGTTTGTCAGTTGCGACATATTCTGCACGAGATGTACCCATAACAGTTCAAATGTGCAAAATGAAATTGCGCAGGCATCCGCCTGCGATGCAACCTGTTTTGTAACTGCATGCACGTACTGGAAGCAATAAGTATATGACATACAGGTATTCCCATCCATTTTGGACGTGCCTATGGGCGTATTCCGCCCTGAGCTAAGACAATGAAGATAGTTGATATGACGTCTGTATACCATACCAGGTATACGCGATAAATATTCTAGATTCTTTCGACAGTCGCATATGTAAATGCTTTTTCGATAATACGAAATGACCTACCAAGATGTAAAAAATCATCAAGGATAACCTGTAGAATGTCCACAAAACCGGATGTTATGAGAGGATTAAAGTTGCTTACGAATCAGAGCCCTTGAGACGTTTCTCCAGGATGTAATTTGTGACCGGTTCACCGCCGTCATCAGCTGGTGGTTTCCATTCAAGAGTAATTTCATCGGCCTTGACCTCCACTGCATCCAGTGGTCCAGTTGGTGGGCCAGGGACATCTAATAGCGAAAAAGCACGCAGTCGATTTACTGGGACTTCCAACACTTGTCGCCCCTAACTGGCGCTCATATCAGGAGACACTTAACCAGCATAAACGAGGCAGACAGAAAACCTGACGATGGGGGAAGTCATGTACTTACCTATAACGTTAACTTGACAGGATGATGACACCTGGCCCAGATCGTTCATTATTTTAATCTGGTACTGGCCACTGTTGACACGACGCGCTTTCGGTACACACAAGACGAAGGTTCCTCCTGGTGATTGTTCAAGAACTGCATTGGGGTCGCTACTGGCCGGTTTCGGAAGCGCTTCTTGGGAGAGAATCGCATTATCATCACCCGACTTGATTGTCTTGTCATTAACGGTCCAAGTCGGCGTTGGCGTAGGATTCCCAAACCATGCTACTGGAAGCCGCAGTTCTTGGCCAGCCTATAAAGCGTAGTTGGCATTCAGAATACAGAATGAGACATAAGATCTTATCGAGACCTACTATCGTCAATTTGAAACCAACTTACCTTGAGAGTAACGTCCTTGAGGCCACCAATACCACTATTGGGGCTGTCCACTAAACCATCGTCCTTAGTGGCGATACGAGGAGCTTCTTGTCTATCTTCGGCCACAATAACTGCGGTCGGTCTCGAGGGTTCACCGGGTCCCTCTGCATTTACTGCGCGAACACGCAGTTGGGCTTCTTCTCCTGGTTGCAGTGGTACAAAAGCGGTGGGTTCCTTTGTCTCGACGACAGGAACCCAATCACCGTCAGGATTCTTCTTCTCTACGACATAACCAGTGACCGGAGTTCCACCATCAGATTTCGGTTTTTGCCACGATAGTCGGGCGCCATTCTTTGTAACCTTGTCAACAATTACGCTTTCCGGTGGGGAAGGTGGGACTTTGAGGGTACAGGATTAAACAGCTGGTAAGTATACTTCATACAACTTAATGGGGGGATCAGGTGAGATGAACGCAACTTCGGATATTTGATAATCAAACAAGAAGACTCACAAATTTTGTCCTTGACCAAGTGTGGGTTAGTGGTTTTGGAGTACTCGCCAGGGCCACCGTCGTTGACGGCACACACTCGAAACTCGTACGTCTTTCCTTCGTCCACGTTCGTGAGTCTTACTTGGGTACCGGGCACAAGATTCGGGGTTGCAACTTTCCAGTCGCCGCGAGGATAACGCTTTTCTACTCGGTAGCCTGAAAAAAACACGAGATAATTAACAGAAAACAGCAAACATATTATCTGTTTCCATGTGAGCACAGACGAGAAAAGGGTTCATAAGGTGTAGGAAGCACTGAGACTCAATTATGAATAAACACCTATTCACATTAAAATTTCAAAAGTCTTTCACCTTTGATAGGGTTGCCTCCATCGCTCTTTGGGGGCTTCCAGGACAGAGTAACAGAGTGATGGTCATAGTCGGGGATTTCGAGATCCTCTGGTGCTCCCGGAGGGTCTGATAAATAGAACAAAGTATTAGAAGCTTAGAAGGTAGTATTTTCTAGCACCTCATGTTATATAGACTGGAAATTGTACTGACCGAAAGGATTTTTGGCGATGACGGAAGTGCTGGTTTCGCAAGGCGCAGAGTCACCCATTCTGTTGACGGCTTTCACACGGAACAGGTAGGGTTTATCCTTTTGCAGTCCCTTCACCATAACTTGCTCGTCCCGCACGATACCGGTAACTGGTTCCCAGATGCCTACGGACTCGTCACATTTTTCCACAATGTAATCTGGAAGGAAGATATCATGTATTGTAAGAAGAAAGTCCTTTTTTTCCAAAACCATGCGCTCAAAGATACTACTGGTTACGATGGTTTACCAGTTATCGGACATCCGCCGTCGTCCAGTGGCGGCTTCCACTTCAGCGAACAGTGTTCAGCAAATACATCGAAGACTTCAAGATCTCTTGGTGGTGATGGTTTATCTGAAGGTATAAAAAGTTGGAGGTTAAGTAAATCCACAAGCCATAAGACATTCCCTGCTCAGAAGTACGACTTACCCATTACAACCACCTTTATGTCAGCCTCATCCTCGCCATAGTCATTTGATAGGTGGATTTTATAAATTCCTGAATCTCCCCGCACAGTAGACGGAATGTCTAGTCCAGTGAGTTCCTCAGTGTCGGTAATTTTGGCCGTCTGCGGTACGCTGCCGCCATCTTTTGTCCACGCAATGACCGGCTTCGGGGCCCCGGTAATGGGGATGGGAATGCTCAATGGCTCGCCTGCCCGCAACCGAATCTCATTCTGTGGACCCAGTAGATCCCGAAGACGCTTCAAATCCAATTTCGGAGCCTCTGTATTGAAAAGTAATCAAAACATTAAATTTTGCTCCCTGGTAAGATAGCAACCTGGTAGAGACGCAAAGTAACACTGCCTACCTTTGCTTGGCTTAGCTGTGACTGGATCACTGGGTTTGCTCGGAGGACTCGGTCCAGCCTTATTGATGGCTATCACCCTGTACTCATATTCCTTACCAGCCCGTACACTAGAATCAGTGTATTCTGGCTCGGCAACCGGACGGGTTGTTATCTTTGCCCAGCGGTTCGATCTCGGCTCTTTCCTCTCAACATGGTAACCGGTGATCGGAGCACCACCATCGTTCTCAGGCGGTTCCCACTTGAGATCGATCCTGTCCTTATCGTGGTCGACAATCTGAGGCTTGCCTGGGGCGTCAGGTTCATCTATATTGGAAAAATAAGAATATTTTCGTTTTATTGATGATTCGAAAATATTTTCAAGAGAGAGGGGACTGTAGAAAGGAGGAATTACCGTATGGATTCTTAGCGATGGTCTCGGCTTCGGATTCGAGAGGTTCGCTGGAGCCCTGACTGCTGACAGCACTAACACGGAACATGTAGGCATGAGCCTCTTCGAGTTTTGGAACTTCACAGGTCGTTCCACGAGACACCTCAGCTACCTTCTCCCATCGGCCCTTGGCGACATCTTTCTTCTCCACAAGGTAGTACCTTTAGGATTGTCATGAAGGATGTTAAGGTTAGCACCCATTAACTACAGCCGGATACAAACATCAATCAAAAGTGAATTATCGGTGAGCTTACTGAATTGGTTCACCGCCGTCATCGGCCGGTGGTTTCCACTCAAGTTTTGCGGAATTCTTGGTGACGTCTTTGACCTCGAGTGGACCCTGGGGTCGGGATGGCTTGCCGAGGACAACCGCCTCCACGACAGCCTCGTCAAAGCCGGCCTCGTTACTGACCCGCAGTCTATACAGCTGCGTGTGTTTTCGCTGGGCATTTGGAATCCTCAGTATCGTTTCCCTGCGCAATAGTTCTATTTTAAACTCATCACCAGCTTCTATGGTCTGGAAGAATTCAGAAAACACGGTAAGTTTTCTATGATCCCTATGACCCAACCGTAGCACACAGTATTTAATAGTGATTATGCTGACTGTTTGCTAGCAACAAAAGTACAAAAGGTGGCCGATAGGCAGTAGAGATAAGCAGGATAATTGGAGCAATAAATGCGAAGGTTCGCGTTCCAGGGGTTTTCATGAGTAAAGAAGAAGGTTGGTTGGACACTGGAGCAGTTAGTTTATCGTTCTGAGGTGCAAGAGTTTGAAAGCTCGGAATAATAAACTGTTCCGATGCTCGACTAGCCTTCTCCTTTACACAAGCTCATTGGACTTCAAGTAGTTAATGCACCAATTCAGGGCTCAATTACCAAACATGGGTTGGAACTGACCTTGTTGGCATAGGACCAAACAACCTCGGGGTCCGGTTCACCTCGGTATCTCAGATCGATTTCCACCTGTTGCCCGCATTTTACTTTGATCACCTGGATTCTTGACTTGTCAATGAATGGCTTCACTACAAGAAGAAGAAAAGCGTTTTATGACAGGTACACTTGGATCTTCTTCTGGCAAGACAAACAGCCGTAATCTTTTGATATTGTCTGCAGACTCGTCGCGACAATTAGTGGTCATTCAACAAAAGTGGCTCCTAAGAGGACGTCAACGGACGTTGTTAAGATGACATGTTTGTAGTAACTTTAAAGTCGCAGGATATGGGAAAGAACTGGAAACTTCTTTAACTAAATGGTCTGATAAGCCATTATTTTTCCCCGTAGACCACAGTTCTGAGAATATAGCACGCGCCTCCTGCACTGTACATCGTTTTTTTCTTTCGGATAATAATGTCGATTTCATCACAAGACAGGTGGATTAACGGCATAACTCTTCTACTAAATAGGACTATTTTTAGATGCTTTCTGGTATTTTATGATGATGCGTTGATTCAAACGGACTTGTGAAAATTCAGATAAGTAGGAAAGAGGTCAAGCCTGTTTTTTAATTTTAATGCTAGGTTCCTGGGCTTTAAATCTAAGGTAGATGCCGGGGCTTACAGAGTTTGTGCTTCGCGACCATCGGCGTAGTTGCAACACTTGGTTCCGAAACTCCGGCTTTGTTCACCGCCATAACGCGGAATTCGTAGACTTCATCTTCTTTCCACGGGACGGAAGCTTTGGTCTCGGTGACTTCCTTAACTTTCTTCCACTCTGAATCCGGTTTCTTCCTTGACTCAATTATATAATGCTTGATCGGAGCTCCATTCTCTTTTCTCGGTTTGACCCATTTGAGGTCTGCATGGTCAACGTCATAGTCTACCACCTGCATGAGTGAAGAAAGAGGATAACCGTATATTTGAATTTGCAAGCACTTAAATTGTTAGCAAGACTGAAGTTGGTCGTCAACGTTAGATACCCGTAGCCCCAGTATTCTGTCTTACGGGACTAGTGGTAATAGGGGTTATATGGGTGGGTCATATCAGAGGAAAAGAATTAAATAAGTACGGCATGTAAAAGCAGAGAATAGTAGGAATAATTATTTAAGTAACCATATGTTTGGCGCGCGATAATTAAAAGGAAAAATACAACTAATAGGAAACAAACACTGCGCGAAAGTACCCCCGAATTGGACACAATCCTATACCGACCCAGTTGAGAATGCCTCCATTCCTACGATGACTCATCTCACAGAAGGGACCCTTAGCGCATCGGCCACGTCGTTGCCATGAGAGCGTGCACCGTGACAATCGATTTCTCGTCATATCTGATTGGCCCATTGTTGCTGACGCTTTCTCATCCAGCGGACAGAATAAATACACGCAACCTTTTTGTGATAGTGACTTGCTTTGACGTGTTTTGCGTGAATACAGTTTTACTCGTGGCCGACTGTCTTCTCTTCTTCTCTCGTTATGGCTTTGGGGATAACCACCGGGCAAGCTCACAGGTCATGCTAATTACGTGTACTAGGTACGGGTCATAACAGACTCTTTATCTAAATTTGGAGATTAAAATAAAAACATGGCCTTTTCCCCGTTTTTTTAAACTCACACTAGCTCCTAATTTATTCGGACAGATATTTTAGTACGATAAGCCGCAAAATAACTGCATGTCGTTTAAAAAAAATTAGATTAAATTAAAAAATTAACTGCATTAATCTATAGGTGAATTTAAATTAATAAACTAAATAATAAACTAAAAACGAAAATAAAATAAAACTAATGAAAATACAAGTTTCGGCAGGATGCTAAAGAATTCCGTGTTGGGGGTGCCGTGCTGAAGCAAATAGTCAAAGTGGATACCGCATTCTATACAGTAATAGGCATAACCAGGCCTACTAAGCTGCATATAGTAGTTATTCAAGTATAGCTATTTAGCGTTGGCTATCAACCTAAATCTTACCAAACTGTTTACTAAGAACATATACGACTGAATGTCTGACATGTAGTTAGTACGATTTAATACTTGTCCAACAAGTAACTGTTCTTCTAATTTACGTCATTGGATCTGTGCTAAAGTTATTATGGACGGACTTAATACAGTAAATTATAAATGCATTTAGCACTTATTAAAGTATTTTCCACTGCT